TTCTGCCAGCAGACCACAGACGAGGTAACACTAACAGCAACTTTAGCATTTAACTGAAATCATGACTGATTGTTAAGTTGAAGGCTAGCCAAAGTAATCCGCAGTCCTCAGCTGAAAATGTACCCACGTGCATTTGTTGTTCTCCTGGTTGGGCCGTGAGTTTGGGTTGTAACGTCACAGTCATGAGTTAGCTGGGTGTCGGGGAGCTGCACCTTAGTATAACTTGTATAGCACTCGTGTGATGTTTATGTTCGTAAAGCAGTTGTGTGGTTGTTGGGTCTGTTGAGATTGTTGGTCTGATGTTTGCTGTATGACACAATATGAATTGCTGACAAATCTGCAACAACTGTGAAGAAATACGGGAGATCTGAAGGCAACAGGGGATCCAACACAGTATTAGAAAAGTGTACCTAATGAAGTGGCCGGTGAGTGTCAGGACTCATTCCTAACTGAGTGAAATACAAACACAAAAGTGTACACTGCTTTTCAGGCTCGGTTAGTGGAGGTGGGATAACACTGCCATATGTCAAAATACTCACTCCGTTTTGGCCCAAAGCACATGTAAAAATTGAAACCTGAGAGGCAATGATCACGAAGCTATGTCATAGTATAAACAAAGTTTAGCCAGCTGCCAGCACATGCTGCAGCAATCAAAGTCAAAAGCAAGGATTTTGTTTGGGTGTGTGTATACACACACTTTTTGTCTCCAACACACATCTCCATTTTGCAAGATTTTTCTCAGTGGTTATTACTAATCTTTTTGGAGAAAGTATAAGAAAGAAATATAAACCCATTGAGGTCAATACCTGCTTGTGCACATGGTTTCATTAAATTAAATAATGTATTTTATACAACTTTCAAACCATAACTTTAGCCACTGACTTGCTCGGTCTGATATTTTCATTCTTCTCCTGTAAAATCACCAGTTTAGGTGATTCTGATGGCTTTGACGATACTGATAGTGTGTTCAAAAAAGATCTTACTCCTAAAAAAAGGTCTCTCTCTGTGTAGGATCCTTTCCATAATGTAATCAAACACATCTTCATTTAATAACCATCTGAGCCTGCCAGTGGCAAAAACAAGCACTTTACTAGACGTACCGTTACTTGATATCCGTTACAGCCGACTGCAGCGCGCTGGCAGACAAAAACCTGGGAAGAGGGTCCAGATAAAAAAAAAAAAAAAAAAAAAAAAAAACACCTTTACGTTGGCCTTTTATCTTAACACCTCAAACCTAACTAACGTTACGCTATGATATTACAATTAAACTCGGTGTTAAAGTTAGCTAATATGATCTAAGGTCTCCAAAGACCAGACAGAGGTAACGTAAGTTAACAACGCTTAACGTTGGCGTTAACTGTCATGCATTTAACGTTATTAGATTCACCATAAGTTAACTACAAATGTTGTGTTTGTGCTGTTTAAGACGACGGTAACGTTAGGCTTCACGAATCAGTTTACTCTATATTTATAACTTAACGTTAACGTAGTAAGTAAGTTGTGATTATTTTGGAATTCTCACAGGTTCTCAAGGTTTTGTTTAATGTTAATGCTAACCTTACCGTAAGCTAGCGTTAACTTAATCACATGTAACGTTAACGGTTAACATGCAACAGTTAACAAGTTAGCGCAAACCTAACTTAGCTGCCGTTACCAAAGTTAGCAACTTCCGTTGCACTTACGCAGCTTAACGTTACAATTTAAAAATATAATTGCCAGGTCACGTTGCAGGTGCTTAACTGTGGGCAGATTGGCACAATGACTCACCCGTTGTACTTCAGCAGATCCCGCAGTCTTCTAAAACTTCCCAAATTAATGTTAACCTCCAGACACAGCCGCGGCGACGTTGACGTTGTCAACCGCCTAAACTTCTCAGCTTTGACTGCTAGCTAAAGTTCGCCAACGTTGGTCCAGTTCCAGTGTTTCTACTGTGATGTACACAATTGTGACAGATGATCCGTTTAACTGCTTCTGAAAATATATTAGTGTAGCTACAAAATTCAACAACCTCCACAGCAAACCGATGTTAGTAACAGTTAGTTAGCGGCTAACGTTGACTAGCCAAAACCACGCGCGTGCCGAAAACTCAACGTTCATTCCCTCCTCTTTTTTTCCATCCCTGACCCGGAACTGCCGTTGTTTTACCCCGTCTCACAAGCAAATGCACACAATAAACTAAATTAAAAAACAATTTTTAATATAAATAACGTTATTACAAAAAGATAAGAAACGACAAAGGCATCTAAATAACTATATACTGTATTTAAAATGTTAAAGTTAATAATGACATAAATGTAATACCCCAATTTCCAAGGTCCAGGCTGACTAAAAAAACATTTGTCACCAAGCCAGACGTCTTGACACATTTAAGCCTGGCTCTGATCCTGATAGTGCACATCAATACTTTGACCAGATAGTTACGTCCCTGTTTAGATTTATCTTATTTTCATTTACCACTATCAGATTAAGGCTGCTTAACACCACATCAGATAAGAGATTTTAACTCTCATGAAGTTCTTTCACACTGCAGCTAATAAATATGTCAATCAAGACTGTTCCATTTATATGCTGCAGTGGCCTTAGGACACATTCACATAGGCTGAACATTGTCATTCAGAGAAGTAAGTTAAATGCATAGTGCAGGCTGTTTTATTATTTAGAATTTCATTTTTGAACAATTCTTTTCATATGTTGAAAAATATTTCAATATACCACAAAAAGGTAAATGGAGGAGACAGAAAATGCAGCATAAATGCATACATAAAAATACAAACTGTGAGTAACACATGGTTGATGACACGGAGACTGAAATAAACATGTTTTTATATTTCTTTAGTAAACTGACAAATGAGTCCCAAAACTAGGACAAATATGTCAGTGTTTGTAAATGCCAAAACGTGTCAGACTTTAATGTCTTGAATGGCTCGTGAATTGCACAAGTATATGTCTTGGCTCAAAGAATGGGGTGATGAGGAAAGTGTTGCCTCAGTAATTATTTCACCAGCACCTTCCTCTACAGAGACAGGATGGAAGCAAACTGGTCGCTGTGTGTAGATCATAGACTGTATGTAGATACATACAGTAGAAACATCACTCGGAGTTTGTATAATCATCTGTGGAGTCATACATTATTTGTAGACAAGAACAGCAGGATGATTTAGTGTATACAGAATGTTTTGTTTTGTTAAAGTCTCATTTGAAAACAGACCAGTGGGTCTTTCCAGAGACAACATACTGTATCCTACAGCAAAATAAAATGTATAAAGTATTTGGTTGTATGAGCTAAATGAATAATAGCACAACATATTGCTTTTAAGGTTGTGTATGTTTCTAGGGATGAGACTACTGAACATTTTTTGATTTATGATTTATGATTTATTTTGAAATGTGGTCCATTTACCAATTGTATGTGGCTCTGAAGAAAAATGACAGACGTTGGCAATGATTCATCTCAGTTTAATGCTTTTGTGCAAAACATATTTGCCCCAATCGTCAAGTACCAAAGATACAGTAGATATGAAGTAGACTATACAGCTCCATCAATTACATATTTTTTAGATTTAAAATCAAATGAGTCCCTGCAATGGGACAATCAAGTAATGCCTCAACAACACATGGGGAAAAAATAAATACATACCTTCCCATCCAACATTTCCCTTGCTGAATTGCACCACTATGGGGAGCCAATGCACCATAATGAACTAAGGGTGAAATTATTCCAATAGTATCAAACAGCACCTATCTGTTAGGTTTGTTTATCTGTTCTGACTACCTGGGTACATTAGTATCCAAAAATATAATAAAGAGTATATGATACTTAAATTCTCAAATTTAGTAACTTCACAAAAACTATTAAATTCCTTAACAGTGAAGCCAGAGACAACGGAAGGATTTTGTGTTATATTTTGTGACAGCTGTCCAAACCATTCCTACCATATGTGCAAATTAAAGTGCACACGTTGAAAATGAAAGAAACTCTCACTTTTAAATAAACACCTACAACATAATTTGATTTTTATTTTCTTTTATTGAAACATACATTACAGCCCTGTATGGTAAATTATATGCCATGACAATTGGCCAGGACTCTTCCCAAACATATCAAACTGCAGTATGTCAGTATGTATCCCAGAATGCATTTTGAAAAGTAGTGTACAACCGATGGTCTTATTATATACCGTCATGCATTGCGCTGATAGAGAAAAACTGATTGTCCGACGGCAATGACGTAATTAACGGGGCCGAAATAACGATAGGAGTAGGGCCCGAAAGTGTTGTTTTAATAATGCGAGTGAGCTCACTATATAGTGCTCTACATACTCCCTACATAGGAGGTAGGGAGTAGTGAATGAGTGGGGAGTGTCTGCAAATCCAAAAATGTATTCATCATCTCTTCTTTTTCTTCTACGGTTTTCTTTAAGGGTTTTGCTGAAAATTATTGTTGAGCATAACAGACATAGGAATAGGCTGTTTTCACAGCAGACATAGTGACTTGTCATTGCAGAAAAAGCACAGGTGTTACTAATAACATCAAGGATGGCTCTGTCCCAGTAAGCCACGACAGTGTGACAGTGAGCCAGCCTACACAATACCTGAAACACACACAGCCCACAGCAGCTAAATGAAATTCAGCCAAAATGTATTTTGTTATTTACATCTGTGCTTATCCTTCAGTGAAATGCAGTTTTCACCAACAAGTCATTTTTGAAAATATCATAGGCATGACAGATTATGTCTACTTGTCATGTCTAAGACTGGGTAATTTCTATGTATCAGATGTTTGTAAAAGATGGTTGTATTTTACTGCCCACAGGGCATTATGGAGTTAAGCGTGGTTTTAGCATCAGTGTTGGTCTCATCTATATCTTGGTGGATTACTCTCTGTTTATAGGATCGGCTCCGATCCTGCTGATGGGTCAATGAAGCAATGAAGTGTTGTAATAACATCGACTGTCATCCTGCGGGGGGCAGCACTGCACCGCGCATTTGAGTGCAGTGATTCAGTCGGAAACCGGAAGTTCGTCACTAGCTGGCGATCGCTGCCATTTTGACGGGGAGAGTGAAGAGCTGGGATAACTGCGTGTCTGTTGTTTAGCGATTTACACATAAAAACATTTCACCATGGCTATGCAAGCAGCGAAACGCGCTAATGTAAGTTTGAAGCAGTCGGTTGGTGTATTCTGTGATTAATACAACTAATAATTCTAGCTTAACTTGGCCAGAAGCTGGCGTCACCCAGCGGTAGCACACGGTTAGCATGCTAACGAATTGAAAACAATCACACTGCCTATTTTTAAAACTTTAATTTTTATTGAGACTGCTTTTGATAGACAACTCAAATCAACTGTTTATTTCAGTGACGTATTTTGGACCATCTGGTGTCTTTGTTTTAGACATGTGGCAGCACGTACTCGCATGAAACACTTTAACATCGTTAGTTAAAAAGTGAAAATGTGTTAGCTACATTTGTTTATTGGTTCCTGAACGACGTACTTAATCTAATTTAGGGGTGTGTGATATGGCTTCTCGGGAACTAAATTAGTAAGTTAATGGTCATTCCACAAAGAAAAGAGGCAAACAACTTGGAAGATTGCTCTATGTGTGGCATGAGTTAGTGTTTTTATTTGGAATTGACCTGGCAGTGGTTTTGTTTTGGGTTTGCCAGCTAGTAAAGTTATTGCGTCCTCATCGACTTCTCTGTGGTTTAACCGATTGTCTAAAACGACTTTAACTCACCTGTTTTTCATTCTTTGTGCTACAGATACGATTACCTCCTGAGGTGAACAGAATCCTGTATGTCAGGAACCTTCCTTACAAGATCACAGCTGAGGAAATGTATGATATCTTTGGGAAGTATGGACCAATACGTCAGATCAGAACGTAAGTTGTTCTACATGTCTATGTAGAGCAAATGGGCCAAAGGAAGTACTTATCAAGAATTTTGATTGAATCATTCATAGTTGATGTTTGTCCATGAGATACATATGAAATTGGGCTAATTACTTTTTGTGAGTGTGGTCAGTTTATATTGTTATTATTATAGCATATAATGTTATTATAGTAACGCACACATCCCACATCAGTTTATGTGGCATTTTTTGTGCCATTGTAAAGATTACATGGATACAAAACAATGATTCCTTTCCCATCATTTTTTGGAGGCACATGTTAACAGATCAGTACTGCTCAGATTGCTAAGTCATGTAGGTTAATCAGCACTGACAGATTTCTATCTCTTGAAAAAGGCAATTCGATACATACACACATTTATTAGGATAGGAGAAAAACATAGCCTGAAAGAGGATGGTCAGAATGTTTTAGACTACATACGTCACAATTTATGCTGCACAGATTTTTAGATCCCATCAATGAAATATCAGTATTGCCCTTTATACATTTACAAATAATATCCTACATATAAATCATAAATGGATTGTAAACTGATTTGGTTCCATTAAAATGTCTTTTTCTTTTGCATGTAAACTGGACATTCCCCTAAACACCCGTGGGACACTTGATAGTCACTTCCTGTGTGTTTTGTTCTGTTTGCTTTTTAGAGGGAACACACCTGAATCGAGAGGAACGGCATATGTGGTTTATGAAGACATCTTTGATGCCAAGAATGCATGTGACCATCTGTCAGGCTTCAATGTCTGCAACCGTTACCTTGTGGTTCTTTACTACAATGCAAACAGAGTATGTATCAGCATTAGAGTGTCAGTAGGCATCATCTGGTCAAAGGGCAATGATGAAAAAATATAGTTTTTGGAACTGAACAACATAATCTCTAGAGAATATAAACATATATATGTTCATGCAGTTATCCCAAATTTAATAAAGGTTTTCTCTGTTGTATCCACTCTCTTTGCAGGCTTTCCAAAAAATGGACACAAAGAAGAAAGAGGAACAGCTGAAGCTTCTGAAAGAGAAATATGGCATCAACACAGACCCTCCAAAGTAGCGTGCTGGAAACTCCATCCAGCACAGCCCCCGTTTTCACCTTCATTTCAGAAGTTTTCTTTTTCTATCTACAGCAAATCCTTTGTTCATGTGGTTTATGCTGGTAATGATTTACTCATACAGACATATTTTTTTTTTAAGCTTTAGTTGAAATGATGGGTTAAATTTTTGTTTTGTTTCATTATTTCCATCATCAAATACACCCGTCTGTTTGATTTTCAGAATAAGGGTTCAACGTTTTTGTTGGCGCTCCTCTCAAAGTGAACTTGTCTGCAAGAAATATGTCTTTCCTTGTGATTGTATTCACCCTGTAACATGTTTAAATCTGCTAGAGCAGATTATTTTTCAGTATTTTGTCACTTCTTTCATAATTCTCCAATATTTTAATTTAAAGCTAGCCATGGTCATGTATATGGTTCCTCTAAAATAAATGTTCCTTTTCTAAAAGCTCCTGTCTCCTCCCTTTTTATGTACTGTAGATGTAATGAAGTGGAAGTGCTGTGCTGTCTTTGTACGAACCCATTCAGATCAACAGACTCTATGCACTTTCCACATTTGCACAGGGTTTAGGGGGTTGCCAGATTCTTGGTTTGCCTGAAGCTTCAAACAGCTTGTGCTGATGAAATCCCTGGGGTTTTAGTTTGGAGTTTACTATATACGTGTGTGAGGACACAAGCCCACAACTGAACCCTGTGTAATCAGTGGTGATATGCCAAAGAGTCATGGGTAAATATTACAGGCTTTCTCAGTCATTTCCAGTGTTCCTTATGTATAGATAAAAAAAAAAAAAAGTAATTCCATACTCACAATGTAAATCAAGAATGTCTTCCAGTAAGCAGAATCATTACAGCCTTTTCAATACTGCTCATTATATTTTCTCTTGCACTGTGACATCAATCATGGGACAATGTGTGTTAATGTCAGTACAATGAGGGAGCAACTTGCAACAAATCTCCACAGAAGGTGATTAGTGGAAGAAGGACTCAGATCCTTGTGTAAAAGCAGTATGACCACAATATATTTTAAAAACAAAAATCAACTGGTAGTGAAAGTAATGTTAAAGTCCTGCATTCTAAGTATTATTTAAGTTAAAATACCATGTTTTTAAATTATGAGATTGTAAAAAAATATATATTCTAAGCAACTTAGGAGAAAAATACACATCTAAATAGTATTATAAATTGGTATGTTTTTCAGAAACATTGTCACAATAACCATTCGGCTGCAAGCTACAATAGGCTGGTCACGACATCTCCTACCCACCAGTTTAAGTCAGTTTAACACCTTATATAATTAGCCAAAATGAATGGATTAACAGTTTAAATAATTAGCTTAAAGTACTACACAAACTGTTGAAATTATTAGATACTAGTAATGGAGTAACAGTTGAAATAGTCAGCGACAGCTAATGGATAAACTGTTGACATAGCTAAAGGTACTGCATAAACTGTTGACATAGCTATAAGTAATTGATAAACAGTTGATATAATTAGCTAAAGGTAAAGGATAAATGAATTGAAATGTATAGCTGAAAATAATGGACGATGCAAACTTGACAAAACTGAGCCAAACAGTTAAAATTCGAGAATATGAAACAAATTTTAATAATATCCTCTGTTATGTGGTGTTACTCAACATCTACAATCTAAAATAAATTCAAATGAACACAATTGGAACATTTCACTGCAGTATTTGAGCTAATCTGATAGGAATGTTGGGGTATAAAAAGATTGGGAACCAGTGGTCTAGGTGTAATTTACATCTGATGTTGCTTGAGAAGATGGTTTGTTGAGTTAGCAGACCAGACAAGATCCCATAGAGTTCCTTTTATTAGATTAAATCACAACACAGGGAGTAGTGCAGCCATGTTGTCAGGGACACAATACATGCTACAAAAGAATCCTTGTACACAGTTGCCTTTGCTTACATTTGGTATCTTGATAGCATTAATAGTAATAACAGAGTTAGTATTAGAAACATTATCTGGCCAAAGATTTTCATGTAAAGAAGTTCAGATTACAAACTGACAGGGGAAAAGCCACACTGTTGAGAGATGACTGACTGGTATGCTAGATCTTTATTGAAATACAGTTTAGTATGACATAACACATCTTCTTTAGCCTCCTTTAGCTCTTAAAACATTGGTAGTATTAATGCAAGTTGGAAAGTGTCTGCTGTGCCTCAGACAGGGCCAGGTAAACCTATTTTAAGATGCAATCAGGATTAGATGTTATTTCCAAATCATGTTTAGGAGGTTTCACACTTCGCTGAACTTCTCTACATTTAGTATGCATCAGTATGTGTACAATGTGTGATGGGGGGAGTAAAAAAGTACAAAAAGATTGACATATTTTTAAGAGAGAAATACTTTGAGGGTTGGGGAGGTCAAATTGTCCAACCCACTAAACACATGTCTTTACAGTAAGGACTGTCCTCTAGTAGTTACAGTGTATAATGAAACACCATTCACTGCTCCTCTCACTACTTTTGCACTCATGTACTTCCACTGAAAAAGACAAACAATAAAGTTAAAATGCTGCCTTATTTCTTTTCCTCGTTAACGAGTCTAAAGAAACTCCTCTGAATTCATCGCATTGATATGCAACCTGTAGGCTAATTGGAAAAAAGTGGCTGTGATGGTGACACACAGATTATAACTTAGTTTGACAACAATGCTCTCCAACTATAGATGAATAATTAGTTCTTCTTTCTAATCTAATTTAACTCCAGCTGGGGTAAGCTCCATTTATTCTCCAGGGAAACCTAATGTAAATGTTTGATCTCACTTGCCTCCAGTCTGTTTGCTTCAAAAATGTAACATTTTATCTCTGATACTGGTTTAAAATGATGGATTCCTCCACATTCAGTATCTGATCATTTGCATTGAAATAGTGTGTTTGAATGCACAGGGGCTGGGATTTAGTTCTTAGCAACATATACTACAGCTAATCTACAACATGCTCCGACAGTTAAAGCAAACAAAAAAAACCGTCTCGACAGATCACAAAAATCACATCCCATATGACGATACTTGTAGAAGGACCTACTGCTATATGATTTTTTCTCCCTATTCAGTGTCACCACGCCGCTTTGATAAGGCTTTCTGTCTTCGATTACAGGATGCAAAATGAGGAGTTTTTTAAGGCAGAACCTAAAGGCATGCAAATTAACTACATTTACATTTTTTTACTGACATTACAAGCATGTTTTGGAAGGAAAAGTTGGACAAACGCTAACCATCTCTTCTAGAACTAATATTCGAGATGGTGGATAGAATGTTTTATTGGAGGCAGATACATTATCATAGGAATTTGGTTCAGTTGACATTACTCAGTATTGTGAAACACGTACAGCTAGCGTCAGTAAACTTGGAACAATAAATAGAGTAGCGGCAAATTCAACATAGCACATCACTGATGTGCAAGCTCCAGTCGAATGAAACTGTATGGAAAATACTTTGCACACTTCACATTTTGGCAGTTGATCATTAAATAATTTAAATATATATTCATATTTATATATCTATATATAGTATTTGTGCGAGGTGTTCATATGTAGTTAGAGGTGTGTGTGTGTGTGTGTGTGTTTGTGTGTGTGTGTGTGTGTGTGTGTATGGTGTGAGTGTGCACCTGCACACTGTTGTATGTTGTGTGTAGATCTTTTTATAGCAAATAACATTCTCATGCACACGAGTGTTTCAAACACAAGAAGCAGATCCATTGAAAGGTAGTCCAAGCATTTTTTTTTTCAGTGGAAATAGCTGCAAACTGAATGGAACATGAAATTCTTTCTGTGCAGTCCTTGGCGACTGGTGGAGCGCTTCGCTCGCCCTCTGGCCTATTTCTGGAGGTCACACTGCAGCAGTAATACGATGGACGGGTCACTCTTGGCCGCTTCTTTGAACTCCTCCAGCGAGATCTGGTCGTCGTTGTTCTTATCCATCTTGGAGAAGATCCTGTCCACCCTCTGCTCGGGCGTCAGGCCGTCCTCGTTCATTTTCATCATGATCACTGTGCCCACCATCTTGTAGATAGCCTGCAGGTAGAGAAATAGAGCAGCAGTGTTTTTAGAAGAGATGAGGTACAAGTCTCTTAATGCATCAATGTTTTCTTCACCTTGTCTTTTCCTGAGCGGTTGCAAGGAAAAGATGCGAGGACAGAGGAATCAAGGAAACATGTTTGTGTGTTAAAATGAGGTGTCCTTTCCAAAGTTTCTCATGACAGCAGCACAGATGGGTTGGCGTCAACTACTCTGTAGCACCTATGAGTCTGTATTTGCACAGACAATGTGATGTTCTGTCCAAATAAAAATAAAGGTGCATAGTAACCACAGTCTGTGTGCTATTTGCTTCTATTTATTCATACTTACTGATGTTCTCCAACATAAAAAACTACATGTGAACGATTAGTCTCTGCAAACATCCACACATGCATGAAAAAAACAACTTTTCTATATTTATTCTACGTACACATCAGTGGAACCACTGTTTACCAGAAACCACTGTTTTTTAATTGGTTATTTGTGTCTGCATGTACGGCTGTTTGTAAAATAATTTTCTAATAATCCCGGTTATGAGTAAAATTAATTATAATTTTTAGTCTAAATATTTTAGAAGAATGGGAAATAAGCCAATATTAATATATCTTGCATAAATATATGGGGCATAGTGATTTCAGCATCACATTTGAGTGGAAAGAAATGATGCCAGTAGACAATGTAATGTAATGCAATAACAAAAACATCTTCCCCTCTGCCTGACTATAATATTCTGCATCAGGCAGAGACAAAGTAAACCCCAAATTCTAGATGTGTGTGCTCGAAACATGCACGTATGCCTCTTGTTGCTTGTTTCATATTATCCATGTTTATGAATGTGTTGTCAGGCCCTGTAGGCTCAACCCTCTGCTGTATAACCTTTAACTAACAAAAAAAAAATCAAACATGCTTCATCCTTGTGACTCAGCAGGTTAAAAAGCAAACAATCATGCGGCAATGGATCGCCTGCTTGCTAAATGTCGCCACCAAACAAAGCAGGAGAACCTTAAAGAAATAGTTCTCTACACTTACTCGCTTTCTTGCTGAGAGTGAAATGAGCAGATTGATCCCACTCTCATGTATATAAGCTAAATATACTGGTAGGTGGGTTTTGTTACCTTCAGCCAGGCTAGCTGTTTCTGGTCTTTATGCTAAGCAAAGCTAACTGTCTCCTGACTTTAGCTTCATAACAAGCATTCAGACATGAGTGGTATGAATCTTCTCATCTAACTTTTACCAAGAAATGCCATTAACATAAACTGTGTCTGTCAATTATAATTATACATGCTATAAATTGAAACAGTATTGCCAATAAATGCACTGATGCTACTTAATCGTTAAAAGTTCAAGACGTATAAATAAATATCAAGATTACTAATATTTTAACTTGAGAATAAGGACTTGATTGCAAT